AAATTGTCTGTGCAGGTCCACGTCTTCATATAACCCCTATACAATGGTACCTCCCTATATTCGGTATTTTGATGATTTTAGCTACATTATTCACCGATTTTTTTTCAAGTTTAGCATTTGAATATTGTAATGGCTTATGACAAAAATTGCCTATGCAGGTCCACGTCGTCATATAGACCCTGACATAACGGCTACATTCGGTTATCCAAAGATTTTAAGAGATTTTATTTTATTTATTTATTTATTTATTTATTTTTTTTTTTTTTTTGAAGATTGCCACATTCGTTCTAAATGGAGGAGGGTATTCAAAGTTCGGACCGGCCCATCTTTCAGCTGTTTTACTTGTTATATTTGATTTTTTTTAACTTACTGACCTGTGTAGGTTTTTACAAATAAAAGCTTTGTTTAATTTCATTTTAAATTTTATATAATGAAAGCAAAAAATATCGGAAATAGCATTAATAGCAAATTTTCGAATCAGTTAATATTTGTTCGAATTGGTTACCTTTGGTACGAATTAAGGCCTACAAACGGCCAATGAAACCGTCACACGGATTGGTAGATTGGAAGTTTTGGTGGCCAATGTTCGCTGGAAATGAAGCGAGGAACCTCATTTTGTAACCATTCATGGGTGGCGCGTGCTGAGTGCGATAGTGCTGAGTTCTGTTGAAATGTCCAAGGTCTGCGGCCAAAATGTTTGCATGCCCAAGGCTTGTATACACCCTCCAGAATATTTTCGCAATAATATTCAATATTTATTCTGATGCCACTGTCGATTAATACGAGCGGAGAGCGGCCATCGGCTGTTATGGCGGCTTCACACCACCACCATGGCCGGTGCTTGAGTTTTGGTGGCCAACCGAAGATGCACATTTTCAGCTGACCTCTTTGGCAAATAAACACGATCATTTTGTTTGTTTACAAACTGCTGAACAACGAATGTTTTTTCATCGGCGAAGTCCAAATTCGGCAGTTCACTACGTTGGGCCAAGCGAAGCAACTCTTTAGCTCTTTTGAGTCTATTTTCTTTCCGGTGCGGCGTAAGTTCTTGTACGTTTTGGAATTTCAATGATAGCTTTACCCCAAGCTCATTTTTCAATATTTGCCGAATGGAATATTGCGGTATGTTCAGCTCACGAGCCATTTTTCGGCAACTGCGACGCGAGTTTCGATCAAGTAGCTTCTTTACTTTTCAAACCATTTCTGCTGATGTTGCTGTTTTCTTCCGTCCACTTCATTGACGTTGGGCTACGCTACCAGTATCACGGTAATGAGCGATGGTACGAGACACAAAAGATTTTTTTTACATTTAAATGCTGGAGCGCTCTAACGATAGTCATTTGTGGTTTTCCAGCCAAATATAAAGAAATCACATTATCACGCTTGAATTCTATCACGAATAACTTTTTTTCTGGAAAATTCTCAACAACATGCTTTTGTACGCTTGTAAACAATATAATGAGCTGTCACTGGAATAATTTTGACAGCTGTCGGACGAGTGGCTTAGAAATGACAGCAGTCTGAAGTTGGTTGCAGTTCTTGCATCTCACCCTGTAAGCTACAAATGTTAAAAAAAAGTAAAGGAATGCATACAAAATATTAATGTCTAGAAATACTTTAAATTATACGAAGTGTACGAGTTTGGATTTGGCATTGAAATACGACCTCTTTTAATATTTATTTATTTTTTTTACTTTAAACGAACTAAAATGTTAATTTTTATGCTTTTCAAATTACTTACAAATAAAAAAAAAACGAAAAACAAGCAAAAATGTAAAAATGTAAAAAATAACATTTTTTTGTAAATTTTTATTTTTGGAAGTTATAAGAAAAATAAAAAACAAGTTAAAAAGTATCAGTCGGTATTGCCGACAGATATATACCCTCAGCCTACGTTAGATTATTTAAATATATTTTGGCTAGTATTACGATTATTCAAACGTTTGACCCTCTATGTAGCAGGTTCCGAAGAAATTGGTCAATATTGTCCATTTCGTATTTTATGCCAAATCATAAAAACAGATAAAATTATTGAAAATTGTGACACTATGTGGGTGAGATGCCAGAAGGGCTTCGAAGATATATACAAATCTTGTGTTAACAAAAATTTTGTATGTTTGAAATTTGCAGAGATGCTTATTTCGCTTTATTTGAGCGTTTTTTTCAAAATCTTGAACCCTATGTATGGGGGAGGTATCAGAAGAAATGGTTCGATCTATACCATATTTATAACAGATCTTGTGTTGATAGAAATATTCAGATGTGCCAAGTCTAAATGGAATCGGATGTTAATTTGGCTTTTATGAGCCAAATGGGTATTCAAAATGTCGACACTTTGTGGGGAGGTACCAGAAGGAGTGGACCGATATATTCCATGTTAACACCAGATCTTAGGTTCATAGAAATATTAGGGTGTGTGAAATTTTAAGACGTTTGGTTCCTTACATCACATTTTATATGAGTTATAATTATTCAAAATTTTGACCCTTTGTGGTGGAGGTACTTGATGGAGTGGACCAATATAATTATTCAAAATTTTGACCCTTTGTGGTGGAGGTACTTGATGGAGTGGACCAATATTGTCCATTTTTGCACCTGACCTAGCACTTACGCAAATATTAGGATTCGCAAAGTTCGAGCAAAATCGGATCATCCTTTCTCTTTCTGTGCAGAAAATAATTTTTTGCAAATTTCGGCCTTTTGTGGGGGAGGTACTTGATGGAGTGATCCGATATTGTCCATTTTTGCACCTGACCTTGCGCTGTTACAAATATTAGGATCTGCAAAGATGGGGCAAAATCGGATCATCCTTTCTCTTTCTGTGCAGAAAATATATTTTTTTTGAACATTTTGACCTTTTGTGGGGGAGGTACCAGAAGGAGTTGATCGATGTATTCCATCTTCACACCAGATATTACGCTAATTAAATTATTGGGATGTGTGAAATTTGAAGACAATCGGACCCTTACTTCACATTTTATAAGAGTTGTTATTATTCAAAATTTTAACCCTTTGTGGGGGAGGTACTTGATAGAGTGGACCAATATTGTCCATTTTCGCACTTGACCTAGCACTGACAAAAATATTAGGATTTGCAAAGTTGAAAGCAAACTCGGATCATTATTTCTCTTTCTGTGCAGAAAATATATTTTTTGAAAATTTTGACCTTTTGTGGGGGAGGTATCAGAAGGAGTGGACCGATATTGCCCATCTCCGAACTCGATCTAAGTTTGACAAAAATATTACGATGTACAAAGTTTGGACCAAATAAGGTACTCCCTTCGAGAGTTATCGTGCGCACCAGCCAGCCAGACAGACGGACCGACGGACGGACATCGCTAGATCGACTCCAAATATCCTGAAACGGATTTGGTCCAAAGAGACCTAGGGTCTAAAACCGTTATTTCGACTAGGCACGTTTTAACCGTATCAAATGATATATACCCTCTGTAGCATGGTACAGTGAAGAGAAGGTAGGTCAACTTTGAAAAAATTGCAAGTATAGAGGTCTACCTGTTTGGCTTGTAATGTCAGAATTAGTATCAAAACAATAAAAAATCAAACAACTTGTTGCATTTATTTTGAATAAATGATAGAAAAACGCGATAACTGAATGAAAGGTCAAAACTTCTTTTCAAAATCATGTACCATATATCTCTAAAGGATTATTTCGCTACAATACAATAGATTTTGTAGATGCATACGTTGAAATAAACATTTTGAAAACACCCGAATTTGAATATTTTCTGAACAATTTTTTGTTATTGAAAAGAAAACACATACATAAACAAATAAAGATGACATATTAAGTTAAGAAAATAAAAAAATTGAAATCATATGGTAGTTCTGCCCTACCTTGAATTCATTGTACCATGCTCTGTAGCCATATGGCTAAGTGATAATAAGCTGTACGAGTTTTGCTTGGAGCTACTGTATTTCACGTATGAGTCATGGCAGAAGAATATAGGTAGACGCGTCGATACAGCTGCTGGGACAATGAACTGTCAAACCAATTTTGGAATTGAAAATGTTGAATGAAAAATTATTTAAATATGTAAAAATTGTAGAAAACGCGAATTATAATAGCCTCCGAATGATGTAGTATAAGAAAACATATAAAAAGCTACTTATATTTAAAAAGAACATTTAATTTTTTTGACATATAAATGCTCCCAAGCGTTTATGCATCTACCTGTATTCTTCTGCCATGGTATGAGTAATGCATATGACAATTTTAGTCCAAGTCCACTATGTGTAAACGTACTGTAAATTTACTAGATGGTGAAATAGAGTAATGAAATTCAGTGATGAATTTGTTTATTAACTATAACTTTATTTGAATGAACCCCCTTAAAATAAATTAGTGTGACATTTTATTGGCTTTTTTGTTTGAGTTTTCTTAAGAAAATTACTTTTTGTAACACTTTTTGAAAATTTCTAACAGCATGTGTAATATTGCTCATGTAAACACGCTTTAAATGAGCTAGCTAAAGTAACAAAAAGAAGCTATATCATACAGCTGCAGTTATAAATTTGCGAAAATCTGTCGATCAACTTATTATGGCGTTAAATCAATGGCTTATTTATGAAATACGCAATTAATTTTAAAATAATTCTTAAAAATAAACACATAAACCTTTCGTAAATAATAAACGTCTTCCTATGTCACCTAACCACACCGCAATGACAACATGCTTCTTCTTCTGACTAAATTAATATCAAACGGTACACCGAATGGTTAGCACGCATATGAGGGCAAAGACGAAAAAACGAAAAACAAGCAAACAAAGGAAAATTAACAACTATAACAAGAAGACGTTTCGACGGTCGAAAACATACGCGCGTGTTAAATAACAAAAAATTCATTAAAAGAATTAGTAGATTTTATTGTAATTGTGCGCCCGATAATAACAGCTCTGTTCTATAATCAAATGTGAATTAAAGGTATATAACATGGAAAAAAGTGTAAAAAGAAATATAAAGAATCAACTAGAATAGAAAGAAAGAAAAAAAAAAACATTTTCCATTTGGGTGGAAAAAAATGTCAGTATTTGAAGCAAAAATTGTTTAAAGAGAGTGCAAGAGGGAAAGAGACGGTGTCAGTGGCAATTGGCATGGGAGAGAGCAGTAGTATGTGTTTGCGCCGTGTATATTGGTGTAGTGTTGTTGTTATTTTTATTAACAAAAAATATTCTGATTCGTTTTTTTTTTTGTAATTCTTCTTCTGGTCTTCGATAATTGTGCAGCATGGCTGGCTGATGTTAAAGAATTGTTTAAATAAATAAATGGATTAAGAAATGCGCTGAGAAAACTAATTGCAAACAAAAACCAAATTTCAATGGGTATGACAAAGAGAGTTTTGTTTCCCCTCTTCCTTACAAAAGAGCACAACTACAAAAAGCCGTGTGGTGTGAGAAATTCTAGTGGCCGCAGTGAATAATTTGTGAAAATTTGCAAAATTAATGTATGCTGTTGGGCTGCCACCACCACCACAACAACAACGGAATATAACAATTTTATATTGTACAACAAATGCCAGAATATTATTTGTTGTTGGTCTGATCCCAGCAAATCATTGGAAAAACGAGTCATCTGTTTTTTGAATATTGTCGCGGAATTTATTATGCTCTTTGTTTTGTTTTTTTTTTTTGCTTGTTAAGAGCGCCGACATCTCTCACTCTCTCTTTCTCCAGTTAGAATTCTCTTGTTGCCTCCAGTTGGTGGAAGTTCATTTGTGTTTTTCTTTTCTTTTGGTCTTTTTACTCGCCGAATTGTGTTCTCTTTCTCTCGGCCTCCCCTTTTTCAACTCGTTGTTTGTGACACTTTTGCGAACTCGTTCGGTCTGCGAAAATTTTTGCCAGTTTGAGAAACGGCGAAGAGGCATAAACACCAAAAAACCTTAAGAAAAAAACGCGAGTGTTGTGTGTTAACAAAAATTCAAGGTGAAAATTAGAAATAAATATTGAAAATATTAACAATAGCTACTTGAATAAACAACAAAGAAGGCATAACAAATCTTTTGAAGTAAATATCGGTGCGAAAAAGCAGGAATTTTCTACGAAAAATCGGTGTGAAAAATGAAGAAATGACGGCGGCGACGGTCATGGTGGCGGTGGTGGTGGTGTTTTGTTTAACAAGAGTGTATTGCAAATTGAGAAAATAAATTAAGAAAATTGTGCAAAAACGCCAATGGCAATGCAATGCTTTTAAAACAAAAAGGTCTAAGATCCCAAACTATGTGTCCACAAAAAATGGCATAGAAAAAATCAATGTGTTGCGGAAAAAATGTGACGTTAACTAAAAAAACCAACATCGTCGTACGACAACGACGACAGCGAATAAAAGGCATCAAAAGCAAAAAAAAAAAATAAAAGAAGAATAATGAAGAAGAACCACCAACCAAAAGCCAATATGAAAATGAAAAAATAACCCAACGGTCGACGATACCGACAACGAATTACTGCCTGCCTCGCTCGGTCTCTGATTAGTGGAGTGTTGGTTGGTGCTACTCGTTAGAAGTTGATTGTGCAAAGAGAGAGTGCATGGTTTTAAGAGAAAAAGTGTTTTGTTGTATTTTGCCTCCCCTCCATGCTAGCTCTCTTTGATTGGCAAAGTATACAAAATTCAAATAAGATATGAATACCAAGTGAAAATATCCACCAATTGATTAATTAAAGATGTCCAAAAACGAAAGAAAATGTCAAAAAGGAAGAAAATATACAACTTTTTAAGAACATACATGGAAAAGTGGAGGAATAAGGAAATAATTTTAAGTTTTTTGTTTTTTGTGTGAAAATGTACTTTGTGAATCCGATGGGATTGCAGGGAATAATTAAAAAAAATTGTTTTGAAGTACTGTTTATTTAATGTGGCTCGAAAAATTGGAAAAGTGTTGATCAGGGTTCTCAAGTCCGATAATTGAGATTTGGTACGGACTTCAAAAATATCCATTTTTCGATATGTTCGGCTTCCGCAGTGCTTAGTTAATTGAAATTGTTAAAACCAACTCGTACATATAAGTTACTCCGCCATACCAGTCCTTAACCGGGATTATTCGAGTTATTATTCATCCTCCCGAGAGTCAGTGGCTTAACCATAGTTCAGTAAAAACTATCCCAATTTTTTTGCCTTGATTACGGAAAATCAATCATATTTTGGGAAGGACCCTGGCAATTCAGTGTTAGACTCGGATCAGTGTTATCCGATGTCAACAAAATAATTATCGTTTGAAAAATACCTACCGCTTCCGTAGTGCTAAATTAAATGAAAGTGGCGAAGCCAACTCGTAAATATTAGTTACTCCGCCATACCAGCCCTTGACCGGGATTATTTGGGTTATTATTCATCCTCCCGAGTGTCGGTGGCTTAACCCTAGTTCTGTAAAAACTATCCCAATATTTTACCTTGATTTCGAAAAATCCATTTTTTGTTAAGGACACCGGTAATCCAATGTTTGATTTGGATCTATAGTTAACCAATATGACCAAAATAATTATCAACCACTTGTAACATGGAGATATAAAAGCCTGGTTTGCTTTCTAAAAGCCCCAAACCGGACTGGTCAGCCAAGAAAAAAATTCTTTATCGCTCTCAAGGCTTAATTCTATATAGACGCTGCCTTAGATTTTAGTATATTCTTGCCTACGACGCCTGGATTGAGGATTCCCATTCACCATCGAATAATTTCAATGACTCGAACGGCAACATCTGGGGAGGTTTGTCATGAAACCATAATCCTCGTCTTACCCGGACGAAATCGTATCACATTCGTTGTTGGTGTATCGATTTATAACGAATATAAGTATGTTCTGCTTAACCGTATCTAGTCTTAGCATCAAATTTAAAACTATGACTAATTCAATAGCTTGTAAACAGAAATTTACCACAGGAACCATTTTCAATAAAGATCGGTCTCAGTGGACTATGAGATGCTGATCTGGGACTTTTACTCGTGATTTAAGCATTTAATTCTGCAAAACTGCGGAAGACCTAGTTTTTTAAACATGGGTTTTTTTAAGACTACAAAAAATAGAAAAAGTTCCTGTTATGATGGCCCTTTAACCGGACTGGTGATTCCAAAAAAAATTATTCATCGCTCCCAAGGCTTATCTCTCTATAGTCGCTGCCTTAGATTTTAGTATCTGCTTGCTTACAAAGCGTGGATTGAGGATTCTCATTCACCAATCGAATAATTTCAATGACTCGAATGGCAAACATTCTGTTTAAATGATTCAGGTCTCAATGTCAATTTAAAAAATTCGGCTACTGCGCTAGGTTGTAGATAAACATTTCCCACCGGAACCATTTTCAATATAGATCGGTCTCATTGGACTATGAGGTGCTGATCTCGAACTTGTACTGGTATCATTTTGACTGATTTTGATTAAGTATTCTAGATCTTAAAAATCGAAGCCCCGAAGACACCTGGTCCATTAGGTTTTTCTGAACATCTAGTGCCGCCTCCTGCTCTTCAGCCCATAAATCGCTAAAATAAGTTACAATTAAGTCCTGTGTGTAAAACTCGTAATGTAGCAGCAGTCTCTCAGACCATCTTTAATAAAATTCTTGTTTCGTCCATAGGTACTTGCCGCTAACTGCTGATTTTTCACAAGATTAACCTGAGGCTTCTACCACCTTAGATCTGCTGAGGTCGTTAACCTCTAGAATTGGCCTTGTATTATCAGGTTACTGATTTCAAATTTGGAAAAAAGGTTGACTTGTTATTGTCATTCCCAATAAGTGGGTTCTTCAATGTTATATCCGTGCATGGTCTTTGAGTGGAAATCTTTATGTTCCAGTCCTTCATTACAGACTGGAGGTCCAAGGCAATGTCGTCGGATTACGTTTTAGCAGTTTCAAGGACGACCGACTAGTCATTTTGGCCGCTATCTTGCTTTTGCAAGAATGCAAATTTGGAAAATGTTTCGCGTGTTATTGCCGTAATTTGGTTATTCAATGTTAGATCCATGCATGGGCTCTGAGTAAAAATCGTTATGTTCTAAAGCCCTGGAATTGAACTAAGAGATACAGAGGTCAAAGACATTGTTCTGGGATCACGTTTGAAAAGTTTCAAGAAAGAGCGACTTGTCTTTTTGGCCTATCTCTTGCGAATGGGACCAGGATCTTTACCCTGCCAATTACAGGAGTGTACACTAAAGGGCTGCAAGTGTGACATTTTTCTCTATTTATGCCATGGAGGGAAAACGCTCGTCATGTTGTGCCCTGTTTGATCAAACGCATAACAGGACGTGGCATCCAACCAAATGCTCGATGTCTCGTCATGTCGGTCAGACTCAAACCCATCGTCATAACATGTAATGACCAATAAAAGGGGATGTTGAGTAGTGTGTCATACAAAAATGTTCTATCAAAAAAACAACAACAATTATGAAACAATTTCCAACGAAAAAGGCACACACGTGATGAAGACAAAACGCAATCGCTACCTGCTTTTCCGATATGTGAAAAAATAAATTTCTTGTAATAAAGAATTTCTTGGCGAATACTAAAATATTACAGGTATTTCTAATTGTTCCACACAAAATTTCCACATTTCGTGGTTATTGACGAAACAATCTAAAAAGTTAAAACACATTATTAAAAAACAATAATCCCTCTGGTAGTGAGGTGTAAATTAGATTGAGTGCTACTGTAATTCACATAACAGCACTATATACACCCATTGTTCAATTCTGTTATTGAATGAGAGTCAAATCTCTGCCCACAAACTTTACTTTTAAAATAACACTATATGTGGATAGAAAATAGGCAAACAATATTTACCTCTTTTTTATGACAAAAATTTTATGATAATCACCAATAAATTGGGATTATTAAGTATATATTTCCTTTTTTTATTCATTTGTTGATCCCTATGCACATTTTGTTATTGAACTCAATTTTATATTCACGCGGTGTTTGTTACTTCAAAACTACAGCACACACACCCTCGTCGTCGAAAGTAACACACACACACACTCTCAATTTAAGCACACGTACACAAATGACACACAATTTGACGATGACACGGTTCGATGTCATCGTTGACACCCTGCATTTTTCGAGAACACCATGCAAATATTCGAGTTAGCCATGCCAAGATCGAACCTTAGACAATGGCACACATGAATCAAAATGGGGGATGTTGTTGGTTGTCATTGCTTTTCAAATACATAGCGCATGATTGAGTAGACAAAGTCAGTGTGTCAAAAAAAGCATAATTCATACAATTCGGCTTGTGCAGGCCTTTAGTGTACACCAAAGATATTTTGTGTGGATGTGTTCTACAGATTACGTTTGGAAAATCAGCACAATTTCGAATGCAACATGTTGTCCCGAACTTAAAAATAATATGTGGCTTATGTCAAAATCATGAATTAAAAAGTTAAAAATTGGATAAGCCAGAAGAGCTTTAAAATGTCCTCTGTCCGCAGAGGGTTCAAAATGTGATTGTAATTTTATATTTTGTTTATCAATGAATAAAAAACCCCTTTAGGTTTCCAGTTCAGGATTAAACATTGTAGAGAACAACTACTCTGTTTACCATTTTCGACTTGCCTGGGTTTATTTTACAGACCATTTTATACATAGCAAAAAGTCTGTACTCTTTTGCGACAGCAAATTTTGTAGCCTTTTAAACCCCTTTCTTGCCAATTCACCAGCTTATCCATTTCCTGCCATGTTACATGCAGACGGAGGCAATATGAAGATTTCCCATTGTCCTAATTTGTGATGAAAGTTTCTATGCCATAAACTGAGTCCGTTTACGAACATTTTAGCCGAGATCTCAACTATCTTCAATTTTTTATACCAGACTCCAGATTCCCTGCCTTTTGTCATCTGAAGGCAAACCGACCAGACTATAGGGGACCATGAATTTAGGACCTTCAGATCCTAGTTTGCAGTTAGCTGCCTATTTAGCTCCAATAATTTCATAGCGTAC